AGGCTGAATAAAAACAAGCAAAAATGAAATAAAAGTAAAAACTTTTTACTTATTACCTTTTTTTAAATGCAAGGAGTAGAGAAATTACAGATAATTGTGTAAAAATGTATGAAGTAGAAGTAAAAAGGCTGAAAAATAATTACTCGAGTAAATTACAGATACCCAAAATTTCTACTTAAATACAGTAACAAAGTATTTGTACTTAGTTACTTTACAACTCTGCCACTGGACAGATTTCAGTGAAACTGGTTTCTTTTTGGAGTCAATTCAACATGGCCACTGTAGCAACTGACCTTAGAAAACCCCAGAATAATCACTTTTGTTGAGCTAAAACTTGGCATGGCAGTAGCTGAGCCTCATCTCCAACACATATTTTGAGTGCAAGTACTTTTGGCAAGATCTTGCATGAAATCTGGCATAATTTACATGGTTTCACCAAAACAGCAGAAATTTTCATCTAATTTCATCATAAAATCATCTTAGTCTAAAACTAACATGAAAAGTAGCAAGGATGTGGCCATATTTTGAATAACTTTTAGAAACTTACTTGGATGYGATTTTAACAAAAAACTTCTTTAAATTAAACTCAGAGCACATAATGAGATTTCAAAATAAAATTGAGATGTAACTTTTTCCTTACAAGAACTCTCTTTCAGATTTAAACAAAGTTTATTCTTGACAGATAATTTGAGGCTGAAAGGCCAAAATGAGTGTTAGAACATTTTCAATGAACATTAGAAGATACAGATAAAACTAGAAGCACCTGGAGAGTGCAAACCTCCGCCAAGACCAATTTCCCCATCCTGTAAGAGTAAATGTACAAAGGGAGAAATGTCGAATAAGTTGTGACGTAGCGAACATTTAAGCAGGCAGTATGCACGGGATTTCTTCTCGGTGGAGTCCAATGTGAAAGAAAAAGGAAAGAAAAGTGAGACTTGTCACCCAACGTTATTCATCGTCAAACTGGTGTTGGATTAAGCTCCTAAGTTTTCATCAGTCACATTCCACTGTGTAAAACGTTTATTTTTTTCCCCTTGTATGTGTTTGTAATGGTTTGACGCTCTTTATAAAGTGCTTCCTGGTACAGTCGGCTCATGAAGCGAGTGGGTTACTATATATTTTATTTATTAAATTTATTTATTTTGAAGCGAGTGATTGAAGCAAAATACAGCGTTTGAGCTCTTTCAGCACAAACACTCCCACGAACTTCAGAGCAATTATACAATAAAGTTCTTATGTGGAGGGGGACAAGGTTGATCAGCTGTTCTGGACAGTCCAGCTGCAGCAGGACCCTCCTCCCACTGTCGATGTCCTGTCATTCCCATAACGTGAAGAGAATCACATTTCTTTGTCTACGTCTCCAGACAGCATGTGACATCGCCAGAAGTAGTTGATAACAGAATAATCACAACTTTCCTGATAGTAGACATACTGGGATGTGCAGTCCCAGTGAGTTTGCGACTTCTTCCTGTTTCCTACAGGCATGTGTCTGACGTAATGACACTGCGTAGCCWGGCTGATTTGCCCGAATTAAAAGAAAAATTCCTGTATCCGCATCGTGATCCGGATCCGCATCATCACCAAAATTTAATGGTGTGTTCCTTGGCCCAGTACCCACATGTGGAAAAAGGTCATGACAATCCGTCCACACGTTTGTGAGTAATTTTGTCCACAGACAGACAGACAGACAGACAGACAGACAGACAGACA